ATTATAAAATCATCAGTTATATACATTTAGGGACAACAATAAAATTTTTTGAAGGATTCCATGGCTTGCAGTCTTAAGAAACCCATGCAAGGAAAGGTCTCTGTACAATTTACAGTAATTTCACTTGCACGTTATCTACATTCTACTTACCGCTTCACTTCCTGAGTTAGAGTCTGGATTGTCTTATCTTTCTCCTGACACTTTGCACACTTTGTGGCCCCATTCTTTTGCTTCTAATGGATACAAACAGCAATATTAAAGTGACAAGTATGTATCGTCATTTTTGTATATTTATACAATTCCATCAGTAAACAGAGCAAAGTTTAAACTACATGTAATTATAAGTTGTATACTGAAAAATACTTTATTTTAGCTGGAATTAATTTTTGCTGAAAAGACATTTTGGGTGATTTGTATAGAATTTATTTTCACTGATTCTTGACAAGTTGAATGTAAAATATAGGAAAAAAGGTATATTAGCTGGATTTTATTTTCACTGAATCATTCCTTCAGTGAAAATAGCAAAAATAAAGTATTTTACAGTATTCTCCAAAATCAAGGATGATTTGATAAATTAAGTACCAGTGAAAATTAAGCTTTCAAACTATAGTGGTACTCAATACTAGAGTGGTTTATACAGAAATTTGGATTATAGGCAAGAGTTATTATTTTCCTCCCTCCATAGTATTTTGATGAACTTAATAAAATAAATCTATATATACCTGAACAGCACTATTATGTATTCAATAAAGAAATGCAGAAATATACAGAAGCAATAATAAAATTGAATTTTATGCATACTAATTTTTAAACTAAAAATGTTAATACCATTCAGCTAAAAAATAGAAATGCCTGCCACATAGAAGACTGTCCCTCATTGGCTATTCAGCCATAAAACTTGTGCAGTTCAGCCAATCAAAGAAGCCGTTGAGTGTTTATAGGCTCTGATCACCTATACAATGTTTGGTATTAAAGCAGGACAACAAAATCTACACTACAGTAGTTGCAACTTTTTGGGTACTTAAAGGCTAACCTTCATTAGACATATTATATTTGTTATTCGTCATTCGTTAAAAATAGGTTTTGCTTTTTTGTCATTGCACATGTCACCTTACTCATTTTGTTTGCAATTTTGGGTACCGATAAAGTACCGATACATTCCGAAGAATGAAGAAGTGTTTGTTTTCTGTTTCTGTTTTGGCGACAACAATGCATTCCAAAGCATTATTTGATAACTGTTAAACAACATACATATATTTTGTTGTTATGGTACTAAACAAATAAATAATAAATCATTTTTCTACTTTCCCTAGAACAAGAAGTTTTTCTTTTGGGGGGGGGGGGGGGGAGGTGACAAAAAATGAAATGTAAGAACACTTGAAGTAATATTTTCGTCCACAATTCTGTTGTAACATACGTCGCTATTAAAAATACTCAATCGTAACTTTGAATCAAAATAGGTTTAAAATCACATATATTTGATTACTTTTACATAGCTAATAAATGCTACAATATGAAATGGTGATTTGTACCTACCCTGAGGTAATGAAAAAAAGACTGTAACAAACAAACACACATTGTAATTAAGAATGACATGTGACATGCATTACTGAAAACAAAGTAATAAGAACACCAATAAAAGCACCATGTCCAACTTACTTACCATTAACCCATAGAAAGTGATTTAACATTTTAAAAGAAGGACCGATTATAGAAGACTAGAGTTAAGAGAAGCAAAAAAAAAAAAAACAACAGGCTTCATGTTTATTTTTTTTTTGCAGGCTTGAAACATTTTGGGTGAGAGAGCTTTTTTATCCTTAGTTACATTCTGGATAGCACCACTCTAATAAAGCAGACATTATCCTGGTAACACCATTTTGTGTCCTTTTTCATGGAATTGCTAGTACATTAAATACACCGGTACTGCCATCTATGTTGGTGTATAAATCAGTCATTTGATATGCAAATCAGCTACTTAATATGCAAGAGTTCAACTAAAAAAAATTTAATTGGTCAGTTGAGTATATTTGTATCAAAAATGATATTTTGATTGAACTACATGCAACCAATCACAAGTTTCTAAAAATTATTTTTTAAGAGAAAATTTTTGAATGATAGTAATGATAAGATATATTTATATTTTAGATCATATATTTTAGACTATTAAATTATCTTTAAAAAGATTTTAACATGCTGAATATCATAATAATAATATATACTACTAATACAATATGATATTATAAAGCAAAATAAAATAAATGTAAACTCAGTATCAAGTAAGATATTGGATAGTCAGTAAAAAGAGATTGCAGAAGGGAGAAAAAAACAAACGCACGCAGAGAAAGGATATAAAGCCATGACCAGACACAAGCTCACCTTTACAAAGATATATCCTCTAGAACGGACTAATTAGAAATAAAAATTATAAAAATTACTACATGTATTATTAGATTAGACTAGATTAGAAGTGAATGGAAGAGCATTCATGCAAAGTATGAACTGGAAAAGTTGCTCACTGGAATCCAGTTTACAATGTAACTGTCACGTATACCATATTTGCTCTATTAGTAGCGTATCCATTTTAATACGTAAATGACAGAGGTGTATAGAAGGTACATATAGAAGGGTTTGAGTTTGATTTTCTGCTATTGGTACCAGGTAATTGGGGGTTACCGTAACATGTTAGTATGCACCAACAGTATCCACTCAAACAGTTGAAAAATAAATATTTGTTCTGAAAAACAATTTTCCAGCTATTATTACATAAATACACACCACATTACATGGCGTATCACCATATACTTTAATTGGTATCACAGATTTAGCCCAGTTTTACATTGATAAAAAAACACACTTTTTATACTTAAAG